AGAGGATGACAGTTTCTTTTCTTTTCATTTCTTTTTTTCTTTGTTAAAATTGAATGATTGAAAATGAGGGAAGTAGACACTTAATTTGAAAAAAATTAAAAGGTTCCAGTGTATAGGCAAAATGATCTGATTCCCAGTTACCTTATTGAGCCCTGGATGATATCTAATGAATTTTAGTATCTTTTGAAATCATAGTAGAAGCCCATATTTACAAATCATGGACTGAGTTCTGTGACATTGGAAAACGTTTACAAAAGTTACCTTCAATGTATAGTTTCTCTCTATGTTGATATATTTATTATGGAATAATGTCAGATTAGAAAAGATTTGGAGATGAAGCCCAGCAAAAATCTCCTACATCCCGGTGAAATGCATGGTTGATGCAAGATATAGATGTGTGCGCGTAAAGGAATATTGATTATGTGTCTGAGGCTTGTGTAAGAGTGCATTTCAGTATGTCTTCTTTAAACGTTTTCAGATGAGTGCTTTACCAGGGGAGTGGTTCCTGGGACTGTCAGGAGTGAGAGAGATGCAGACATACCCACCTGAGAGTATCAGGGCCCCTCGGGGATCCATCTCGAGAGGAACAGGAAGTCAAATTTTTCTTTTCTCTTACAGTTGGGTTATTAGCAAGGCCTAAGCATTTAGCATGTGAGATGTGGGATCCAGACTAACATTTATGAGCTGAGTAGCCAGAACATTTCAAGGACTTAGTAAAAGGATTCTTATTGATTCCGGAGGTCAGCTTATGAATAAAACAGTTCCTCAGCCTCTCCCGGCACATCTAGGTGTGGGGCACAGGCCTGAGCAGTGAACAGGAAGCTGTGAGAAGGACCAGCTTTGAACTGCCAGGATTGTTAAATCCAACCCTGGAAACTCGGTATTAATTTTATCTCTCTAGTCAGCTGTGCATTTTAGTGGAGTCCTTGAGGGAGCTGCTTTGTGTCCAGCTCCTGTTTACTTTCCCACACTCTCTGTTGACCCATTCCCACCAAATCCTGGGAGAAGCTTGAAACTAGTGTGGTGTGTGTGGTTTTGGATAATATCAGATCGATAAGTAGACTGGTGGTCTGTCACATTTCTGCTTCAGCGCAGCAGTCTAAAAAGCCATTTAGACAAGAGTCTTTGATTAGCTCCCCCGATGCTCTTTATCCATCAAAGGCAGGTACAAGTCAACCACAGAGAGTGTGGAGAAGTGGGATGGCTGGAGATCTGGATGCGGAGTTCGACAGTTTCCTGCCAGTATTGAACTTGGTCTTTAAATGTGACTTCGCTATTCGTTAATCGATCAAGAGTGTTGACTCCACCCAATTCAGGCAGAAGCACAGTAAACACACACCTCAGTCTAGAAAGACGTAGCGGATTCTCAGACGGATAGTGATGGAGTTTGGATGTCTGTACCATCCTCTCCTGGCTCCTGTGCCCACCATCCACCCAGGCCCCAGAGCCTTGTGCATCTCTGTCATCTTCCACACCTCCCTCCCCTTCTTCCCCATCCTCATGTATCCGTTTACTCTGTCCTTGTCCTTCTTCATGCTGTCTTATCATGTTTGGCCGGTGATCTGACCATTATCCCCGAACTGGTCTTCCTGTTGTAGTCTTTCTCTTTTTGAATGCCTTTCCTGCCACCACAGTTATCTTTTGAAACCATAGTTCTCACGCGACACCTCTGATGATTCCCCATTGCCTATAGAAAAAAAAATTAGATTTGTGACAGACATCTAGGGCCTGTCCCAATCTACCTTCCTCTACTTATTTCTTCCACTTCAGCCACACTGGATTGCTGGTTCCGATGCCTTCATCAAGTTCCTTAATCTAAGTCTCAGTGTCTTCACCTATGAAGTGGGCATAATAGTAGACTCTGCTTCATAGGATCAAGGATTTGTTGGAATATCCAAATAAGTTTAGCACAGTTTCAGGCACATAGTAAGGAGATAATAAAAATTAGATATGATTTTTGCTGTTGTTAAGCTTGACGCGGTGATTTGACCCTTGATTCACGCTGTTGTTATGCCTTCTGGCCCGCCCTCTTTTAAAGTTAATTTTCATCTTTAAGGCACATAGCCGTGACAGCCTTTGTGAAGCCATTTTGAATCTCTCAATTACTGGACTTTCTTTGTGCTCTTGTTGTGGTTGTCATACCTCAATTATATCACTTATTAAAAAGCCTGCCCTGTACTATGGTTGTGTTTGTCTACTCCTCTGAGGTTTTCCTGCTGTTTTTTTTTGAAGTTCCCAGCCTGGGGTTGGACGTGGGTTAGGGGTGGGGAGGTGCAGTCAGCTGCAAGAGCTTTGCTTCTTAAAGGGATTATTTCTGGCATGTGTTTAAGGAATTGAGAATGGGGGTTGCCAAGCTTCAGTGCAAGTCCAATGCTAACCACCCAGAATTGGCGTCAGCTTCACAAGTTAATCCTCAACAAGAGAGCCCTCACTGCAGATGCCAGCCACAAGGTTGGGAGTCCCCAGGCCACACCACATTTGTAACCAATTGGCTACAAATTTGGGGGTTCCCACCACCCCCTCAGATTTGATAATTAGCTAGAATGACTCACAGAACTCAGGAAAATGCTATGCTTAAGATTATTTTATCATAAATCAGGAGCAGCCAAGTGAGGAGACAGAAGGGTGAGGTATGGGAAGATCGTGACCATGGAGTTCCCCTGCCCTGGCCCCTTGGAATCAGGGTGTGTCTCTCTTGACACATCCATGCATTCACCAACTGGGAATCTCTGCTAAGCTTTAGCGTCCAGAGTTTTTATTTGGGTTTCGATACGCAGGCATGATGACTCATTGACCATGTGTTTGTTCAATCTCCAGTGCCCCCCCTCATGACCCTCCCCAGGTGAGGTCCATGGATATCAGTTGAATCAAAGCCCCAACCCTCCATTCGCAGGATTTCTGGAGTGGCCAGTCCCCTCTTGAGCCATCTTGGTAGCATAACTCAAGTTTGGACCCAGGGACTCATAAATGACAATGACATTTTCAATTACTCAGGAAATTCCAACTATTTAGACTAAGTCAGAGGAACCATGGAAAAATGCTAGTCAAGTTCATTATTATACACCAGGTTCGCTTCTCAATGTCCTCATCGGATGTACTGTTTGAACTATTGACACATGAGCCTTCATTATGACAAGAATGATGGTCTAAAACCCACCATATCTATTTGGCCAATCAGTGGAAGTTGAGTGGGACATAAACAGTTTGCCGCCTGCACACAGAAGATGGACAGGAGGACCTATTTGGGGAAGGACCCTGGATATAACTCTGTAGATTTGGTTTTTCTAAATAAGGAAGTCTTTCCTGTTAACAGTCACATTCTTGAGTGCAGGAATAGTCTCAGTTGCCTTTGTATACTCCAGCACCTCCTGTGTTCTTGGTAAGTGTCCCCTTGAGAGAGCACATTTCCCAGCTTGCTTTTTTAGGGGTACAGCAAGCTCCTTTGGCCCTCCGAGCAATACAGTTCAGCCTCAGGCATCCCTAGCTGAGAGCTCACTCAACAAGAAGGAACGGACTTTTCTTTCCATGAGAATCTGTATGGGATCTCAGCTGCAGCCTGCCATGCTTAGAATGATGATACACATGAACAATAGCTGCCACTTCCTCTGTTTGGGTGGAATATTGAAATTTATAGCTAAATTAGTGGTCACTGACGTGCCACTGAACAAAGGATGATAAGAATAGCGTCATCTACCAAGGCAGTTTGTAAAAATCACTTTGTTACAGCAAGGTTTTTCAAAGTGAATTCTGTGTTTAAGACATCAGGCCATATGCTTATTACCCTTAATATAATGTCCTCCAGGTTCATCCATGTTGTCACGAATAGCAGGATTTCTTGCTTTTTTAAGGCTGAATAATTTTCATATATGTATATGTATATATATGTGTGTGTGTATATATATATTTTTTTCTTGGAAATAAGTATGATTTATTTCTTAAAACAAAATATAATCAGGGATTAATGAAAAGTCTTTACATTCTCTCGTGGAAGAATTTAATCTTCTTGGGTGACGTTCAGTGCTCTTGTATTTTCTCCCCAGATTTCCAGAACTTCAAAAACAACTCAGCAGAATCCGTGCTCCTCCCCTGCCTGGCTCTTGTCTGTCCACCTCCCCCATGTCTTCTCCCTCTCTTCCCCCCACCCTCACGTCTTCTCTGTTACCACTGACGTAGTTCTCTGATTTTCTTAACATTAAATGGAATTCTGTTTAGAAACTTCTGGATGCTTAAGGCACATAATAATTAAGGGCTATTCCTATCAAGAATAGAAACACTATATTAGAACAGTTCTTCCTCAGAGGCTGCTGAAGAAAGAGAATCCTGTTTAGAGGGTTTGCCTCTGTGTGTGTGTGTGTGTGTGTGTTTTAAATGGTAGTTATGTAACATCAGGTTTAATTGGCCGGGAGGCAGGAAGCTGGTTTGTTTGTGTGTCCCTTGTGTCATGTGTACCTGACAGGCTATGGAGTGAGGAAAAGCACCTATAATTTGTGCACGGGGGCAGCTGCCCAGGAGACGTCCTGCATAGTGGCAGTTTGACAGATGTTGAAAGAAAAGCATATTGTTTTTTTCTTTATACAGTGATGGGTATGTAATAGACACCGAATAAACACGTGTGGATTGATTTTAAATGAACATTTATTCTGAATGGGATACAGCAGTCCTTTATTTGATAGCAAGCTTCCTAACTTTGGCATCTTTCTCTGGTGGGTCAGGAGAGATTGCTTCTCAGGATTTAAAAATTAATTCCCTAGCAGGAGAACACAGGTGGTAACATAAAAGAAGTACCTGAATGGAGGAAGGATCGAGTAATCCTCAGAGGACACCAACAGGAGAATGTTTATGGTCTCACCCATCTGTACCGATGCCTGGACACTAAAGAAGGTTCATAAGATCCAGAATTATTGCCAGTGTGTGGTGAGGCCAGGCTGGTAACGCAGTTCTGGCAGCAGAAGGGCTTGCCGTGCTAAAAAAAAAAAAGAACTTGTCTAATAGGTAGATCCATGTATAGAGAGAAACTCGAAGGTGAAAAAATGATGGAGAACATTCGGGTGAGAATGGAACGAAGGAGGAACAGGATTGGTAGTGCCGTGGGGCAGACCAAGCACCTTCTACAGGTGGGAAACACAACCGAAGAATCTCGACGTGTTTACGCTTTGGCTCAGAAGCAGGATGCAGGGTAAAGGGAGGCTTTGGTGAGACAGCTGCTGAGAGTTTAAATGGGGCTATCAGTTTTTTGTTGTTGTTGTTGTTGCTTTGCTTTTGTTTATAGTTTCACTGTTTTCAAGCTGCTTCAGACTTAATGGGGGCAAATAAGGAAGAAATGGTTGGTGATTAGTAGTTGTGAAAACTTTGGAAGAAGGGGTCTCCATTATCTTGAAGTTCATCAGAGTGATGGGAGGAATAAACCCCAGACTTCAAGAAAGCCTGTTAAGAGTCTATGATACTTATTTCACTTAGCATGACACTCTCAAGATTCATCCATGTTGTCACAAATGGCAGTATTTCATCCTTTCCTATGGCTGAATAATATTCCATTGCATATACGTACCACAGCTTCTTTATCCAATCATCCATCGAAAGACAGGCTGTTTCCACGTCTTAGCTATCGCCAATCACATTGCAGTGAACATAGGGGCGCAATCATCTTTATAAATAAATGTTTTTAAAATTTTCATGTAGATACCCAGATGAGGGATGTCGGATATAAAACAGAAAGCAACAAACAAAGAAACTCATAGACACAGACAATAGTATGGTGGTTACCAGAAGTTGGGGGAGCGTGGGGAGGTTGAGGAGGGTAAAGGAGGTCAAATCTATGGTGACGGAAGGAGACTGGGCTTTGGGTGGTGAGCACGCGATGCAATATGCAGATGATGTATTATAGAATTGTACACCTGAAACTTAAATCCTGTTATTAACCAATGTTACCTCAATAAATTTAATGGAACAGAAAAAAAGAGTGTATGAGAAGTGAGAGGGGTTGTGCGTGTTCAGGGAACCCTAGGTCATGAGAAAGTCTGTGAGGCAGGAGCCACGTAGAGTTTGATGCCCCCTGTGTGCCTGGTGACTAGAGCAGCCCCTGTCACAGTTGGCCTTTCAAAAAGACTTACTGACCAAACAAAAGAAGGAATAATAAGAAAGATGCCCCGGTAACATAGAAGAGTTTGGCAAAGTTCTGATTGAAATGTGTTAATTATTTCAGTGTGAGAGAAAAAGGGCAATACTTTTTGTTTTCTAAAACAGAAACCAAAAACCAAAAACCAAAAAAGCCACATAGGGCATCCCGTGGAGCGTTCCAAGCTCTGATTAGCACAACACACAGTTTAAAAGGTAGCAGACTGAGAATTCAAAAATGCACAAACAGTAAGAATGGGATCAGGAAAGCTAATGGCCGGTGTGAGCAATGGCTTGTGAACAATTCTAAAGACAAAGAAAAGAGAAAAAAGATGAACAATGGCTTCAGAGAGACGCTATGATAATAAAAGATGACAGAGAAAAAAAGTAGAATTATTAAATTCCTATTTAACTTTAATCCTTTCAATCAAGAAGATATTTAAAACTAGAAAAGATCCATGAACATTATTCAGACATGAAAGGTAAGGAGAATGAATAGTAGGAAGACATCAAGCCATTCTTCATGGAAATAGAAGTTCAGATCTCTAGGTCCAGCCTGAGGACACCCAGTCTGTGTGGTCCTGGTACTGAAACCATAGAGCCATGGCCATTAATGATGAGAAGAGAGGTGGTAGGACAGGTAAGAGAATGGACTCAGGTGCTCAGCCAGGTTGGTCGCTTCACCTCCCTGTGCCTCAGTTCCCTCATCTGTAAAATGGTGATATAGTCAGTTATCCCATCTGCAAAATGAGGAGGCTGTTTCAACTGAGGATAAAAACAGTGCATACTATCTCTTTTGGTTACAGTAAGGAATAAATCAGACACTTTATGTAAACAGTTGACACAGAATCGATACCATGTTAAGTATTAGTTACACTTATTATTGCCTCTTCTTTGAGAAATTATGTGCAAAAGAAAGCTTTGAGAGTTTTGAGCTTCGAGATGGAAAAATATTCCAAATTTTAGAAAGGGGAGGAGAGGCAGATTGTCGAAATTACAACCTAATAACTTTGACATTAATTCTTGGCAAAATTCTTCTGCGGATAAATACAGGGATGTTTTGTGGGGACTTCAAAATAAAAAGTCCTTATAGCTTCTGTCCTAGTTTGCTTGCCCTGTCGTGTGAAGTACCACAGATGGTGGCTTAAACAATGGAAGTTGATTGTCTCACAGTCCTGGGGGCTGGTGGTCAGAAACCAAGGTGTCCGTGGGTTTGGTTTCCTCTTGGGGCTTTGAGGGATGGATCTGTTCTGGGCCTCTCTCCTTGGCTTGTGGTGGGCCACCTTCTCCCTGTGTCCCTTCACATCATCTTCCCTCTGCATGTCTCTCTGGGACCACCTTTTCTTCCTTTCTTTCCTTCTTTTTTTTTTTTTTTTTTTTAATAAGGACACCAGTCATATTGGATTAGGGCCCACCCTAATGACCTCAGTTTAACTTGATTCTCTCTATAAAGACCCCATCTCCACATAAGGTCACATTCTGAGGGACTGTGATTAGGACTTCAACATACCTTTTTTAGGGGGACACCATTTAGCCTATAACAGATTCACTAACAATAGTCAAGCAAAGCAAAATTAGCCCTAATTTTTGATGGTATAGGGAAAGGAAACATACACAATGAACTTTGAATTTTTTTTTTTTAAAAAGGTATTCGACAGTGTGAATTTTC